TGTTTATTGCACCACTCTTCACAATAGCCAAAATATGAAATCAACCTAGGTGTCCAACACAGATGAATGGATGAAGAAAATATAATACATATACACAATAGACTACTATTCAGCGACAAAAAAATGAAATTCTGTCATTCACAGCAACATGGATTGAACTGGAAGACATTGTGTTAAGTGAAATGAGACAAGACCAGAAAGTTAAACACTACATGTTCTCACTTATATGTCGAAGCTAAAAAGAAGTAGATCTCATAAAAGTAAAAAGTGGGACATAAGTGCCCCACTTAAAAGGCACAGAGTGCAAGTTTGATTAAAGAAAAAAGACCTATCTGTCTACTATCAGTGACACCCATCAGCTCAAAGTAAAGGGTTGGAGAAAGATCTACCACACAAACAAACAACAACAAAGATTGAGGTTGCTATTCTTATATCAGATAAAGCAGGCTTTAAACTAACAACAGTAAAACAGGACAAAGAGGGCACTACATAATGATAAAAGGTTCAATTTAACAAGAGGACTTAACTATCCTAAATGTATTTGCACCCAATATTGGGGTACCCAGATTCAAATAACAAGTACTTCTAGGCCTCCAGAAAAACTTAACTAGCCACACAGTAATAATATGGGACTTCTATACCCCACTGATAGTGTTAGACAGATTATCAAGGCATAAAACTAACAGAAATTCTGTACTTAAAATTCTACACTTGACCAATTGGAACTAATAGACATCTACAGAATATTCCACCCATCTGCCGCAGAATATACATTCTTCTCTTCTGCATAGGGGGTATATTCTAAGATTGACCACATACTTGACCATAAAGCAAGTTTCAATAAACTTTTTAAAAATTGAAATCATACCAACCATACTCTTGGACTACAGTGGAATAAAAATAGAAATCAATACTAAGAGGATCTCTCAAAACTGCACAGTTACATGGAAATTAAACAACTTGCTCCTGAATGACTTTTGGGTATATGAAAAAATTAAGGCAGAAGTCAAGAAATGCTTTGAAGTAAATAAAAATAGTGATACAACATACCAAAATATCTGAGATACAGCAAGGCAATGTTAAGAGGAAAGTTTATAGTGCAAAACACCTACCTCAAAAAGTTAGAAAATTAATCTAACATCACACCTACAGAAACTGGAAAAACAAGAACAAAGTAACCCCAAAGCTAGCAGAAGAAAAGATATAACTAAAATCAAAGCAGAACTGAACAAAATTGAGATCCAAATATACATATTCTACAAAAAGTTAATGAAACCAAAAGGTGGTTCTCTGAAAGGATAAACAAGATCAATAGACCACTAGCTAGATTAACAAGGAAAAAACAAAGATTCAAATAAGCACAATCAGAAATGACATTACAATTGATCCTTCAGAAATACAAAAGGGCCTCAGAGACTATTGTGAACACCTCCATGCACACATATTAGAAAATCTAGAGGAAACGAATAAATTCCTGGAAACTTATAGTCTCCCAAGATTGAATCAGGAAGAAATTGAAACTCTGAACAGATCAGTGCTGAGTTCCAAAATGGAAGCAGTAATAAAAAATCCTAACAATCAAAAAAAAAAAAAAAAGGCCCCAGACCACATGGATTCACAGCTGAATTCTACCTGACACTCAAAGAAGAGCTAATACCAATTCTATTGAAACTATCCCAAAAAATTGAGTAGGAGGGACTCCTCCTTGACTCCTTTTATGAAGCTAGCATCATCCTGATACCAAAACCTGGCAAACACACAAAAAAGAAAATCAGAGATAGGCTCAGGGAATGTGACCCAGATTTCAGAGGCATTTGCTATAGGGAAGAACTCTTGTTATTGTTCAAAAGGACAGGAAAGGTGTGAAGCCGGCCTTAATTTTTGACTGGAGAAGGAAGTTGATCTAGCTTCACAGATTATATTTCAAGGACTGGTGGTTAAAAAGTAAAGTTACTTCCTGATTATACTCCAAGAGTCCTTCTTGTTCATTGTGACAGTTACAAAATCAAAGTCATTATTCACAATGAATACTTCAAAATCTTTGCCTCAAAGTCAGCATGTTTGTGAGAATGTGAGCTATAGAAGATGGCCTGAGGTGAGCAAAGGTGATGCTGCTGTCCAGGACATGAAAAACAACAAAGCTAGTATCTTTTGGAAGCCTTCACTGTCTGATGATCTAAAAGGTGAAGGCCAACTTCTTTGAGTAAAGAGAAGAACACAAGGTAGCCACGGGTGCTGAAGGTAAGATGTTAATTGGAGGTCATGAGGACTCTGCATGTGGGTTCTGTGAAGACAAATCCAGGCATGGAGCTTCCTGGAATTCAAAAGACCTTGTCCTGCCTCCCATCTAAAGAATATTTTTGTGTGGTAAAAATAGATATTATGAGATAAAGCCATAAGCTGAAACTAAGTAATGTAAATACCAGGTAAGTTGTACTTACCCAAAAAAAGGCAGGAAAAAAGAGGAATAATAAAAAATGACCCAATTTGAACCTGACGCTATAACAAACAGTGGAATCCCCCATGTAACCTTGTTTTTTTGTTTTTTGGCACAGAGTTTTGCTGTCACCCAGGCTGGAGTACAGCTCATTGCATCCTTAATCTCCTGAACTCAAATGATCCCCCTGCCTCGGCCTCTCGAGTAGCACGTGCCACTACATCAGGCAAATTTTTTATTTTTTGTAGAGGTGGGTCTATAGAGCCCAGGCTGGTCATGAACTCCTGGGTTCAAGATATCCTTCTGCCTCAGCCTCCCAAAGTGCTGAGATTATAGGCTTGAACCACGTTGCCCAGCCTAATATCCATACAACTCTTCATGTTGGGATTTGTCACAAGTACACCGCTCTGAACAGAAAATCTGATCATATGGATGACATCTGAAGGAGCCTACGAGATTTTTTTTTTTTATTCACTCCATATCTGTTACAGTAAAATAAATCAGCTTTGCTTTTTCAATCTTAACGAATTCATGCCTAACATGTCATCTTTTACCGTAGAAACTTTTTTTCTCATGCTTGTTGTGCTCCCTATTCTGCAGTTTGGTGGTGGCTGAGAGGTTATGTAAGCAGAAAGACAGCAATGTCAAAGTTTAGTAGAGTGTAAGAAGGTAGAAAATGCCCAGAAGAAGCTGACTCTGGGACATGTTTGGTGTTGCATGACTAACTACCATGGTACCTTGCATGCCTTTTAACAGTTTGGGAGTTTCTGATTAACTCTGTGTGTGTGTGTGTGTGTTTGTGTGTGTGTGTGTGTGTTTTAATCACTTCATTGGACTACAATAGCCCATTGAAAAAAATATGGCGCTATACAAATATAATATTTTTCCAATATACCATATGAAGGAATTGGAAGACATAGGTGAAGGTGGTTGTTAACATGTCCTTGGGCCAAGAAGGAATGAGTTAATTGACTCTTAATTGGAAGTAAAATAGTTTAATTAAAACTACAGCTGACTGACTCGACTGGATCTGCTTCTGTCCTGCGGTAACAGGACACATTTTCCCGTGTTAGACTTTAAAGAACAGGGTTATCTACGATGGTTATCTACTATCAACGTTAGTTTATTAGCTCTGTGGTTCTTTGTCTCCCAGATCTTTGATTAAGTATGACTCTCACTCATCCTTGTGCTGGCGGTATTTTGAAAAAAGTAAAAAAAAAATGGGTAGTTTCATATCAGAGAGTAACTTGGGAGCTAAGAATTGAGTGAGTTAGGAAGTTGAGTGCAAGGCAATTATGAGATAATGAACCCCCAGGCGTTCTCAGGAATCCTAGAAGGCAGTAGCTTTTCCCGTGGACCTGGGATAAGAGTTGAAAACAGTTCATACACATTTCAGAGATCAGAGTTACTTCAAATGACATCCAGTTGACACTCTCTTTCCTTCTGTGTCCATAAACCTTCTGTAATTTCTGACACAAGAGTTAGTATAGGTGAGTGGAGCCCAAAGCTCAGACCATAGGGAGGGGCAGGTGCTTTCAGCCTCTGGCAATTAATACCAGTATTTAGAGGCAGTTTTTTCTGGGGGACTGATCAGGAGGTCTGGTTGTAGTATTATATATAGCATTATTTCAGGTTAAAATGAAGTGCTGTTAATGGTCATTTTTACAAACAATGTTTTAAAGTGCAAATGATTAATAATTTGACTAATCTAGCTACTTGTTATTGAGTAAACTTTATTGTCTCTGTAAAACTTCTGGACCATCTTTTGCTATTTGAATCATTAATGGTGCTTGCTTTCCCAGTAAACTTTTCCTTTTATTGTCCCCATTCCCAATTTCTTTTTATCCATTTATAGCTTTTTTATTTTATTTTTTTATTTTTATTTTTTATTTAGATGGAGTCTCACTCTGTTGCCCAGGCAGACTGGAGTGCAATGGCACGATCTCAGCTCACTGCAACCTTCACCTTCAGGGCTCAAGTGATTCTCCTGCCTCAGCCTCCCAAGTAGCTAGGATTACAGGTGCCTGTGACCATGCCCAGCTAATTTTTGTATTTTTAGAAGAGACGGGTTTTCACCATGTTGGCCAGGATGGTCTCGAACTCCTGAACTCAGGTGATCTGCCTGCCTCTGCCTCCCAAAGTGCTGGGATTACAGGCGTGAGTCACTGCACCCGGCCTATAGCTTGATATTTAAACTGCTGCAAGTTCCATAGTTAATTCATTTACTGTCATATTTCAGATTTCTGGGAAAATGCATACATTTTACTTCAAAACATCCTTACCTTAATATTTGACTTAGAAGCTAGTTTTATTTCCTGTTGAGGTAGGAGTTCTTTGAAAATATTAATCTAGAATTTCATATGTTTTCCGTTTTGCCTGAATTGTGCTTGGGTTTATTTAATATTTTCAGTTTGGTTTTAGCTAGAGCTGCATGTCATAGGCTTGTCTCTAGAGGGCAGTACAGTACCATCAAAGAAACACATGGCCTTTTCTGCTAGTAACGCACAATTGGTGTTTCTATTTCTATAAAGATGACCTTCATTTGTCGATGATAATGTCTTCTCTTTTCATTATTTCCCCTTTTGACCCACTCTTGAGACATTTGATCACTAATTATATCCAGCATCAAAGTGAAGTTTGTAAAACATCAAAGTAGCTACACGGTGCTGGATCAGGTCCTGGGTACTACAACATCTTAGTAGCCATTACATTTTATATTTTTATGATAACAATAAACGTAGCCTAGAATATTAAGAATTCCTGGTCTTGGACCCACACATTATTGGGGCACCTAGTATAGAAACTGAGTTCTGAATAGCACTTTAAATTAACACCGTACATCTAAATATTAACAGTCCCCAGGTAGCATTTATTGTTACTTCTCAATTAATACACTTTATTTTACCCTGAGCATTATGATGTTTTGCTATTATTGGCAGGTTCAAGAAGATGCTAGGAACTTGCCATCCCTTTCCTCCGTCAAGCCGTTTAAACCTCCTGAAATGCACCTGTGACCCTTTGCTTCTGTTGGTGAGTTGGATTCCCTTATGAGCTAGCTAACTTTGCTTCTTTCTATGACTTCAGCCTGCACCCTTAACACTAGACAGGCTCTTTGAAAATGCATTACCTGGACCTTGAGGGGGATAAGAAGTGGGAATTTGTATTCTCAGTGCAAATCCTTCATCACCAGCAAACAGTCAACCCAAAGCCTCTCCAGCAAGGCTTTATTGGTGTTATCAGGGTGACTGATGGACTGAATGCTCAAAAGGCTTTGGATTGTCATCTGAATTGGTGCGTTACTTTGCATTCCCACTGCCACCATCCTAGTTTAGGCAGCGATTATTGTGCATGCCTCCTAGATACTTTCCTTCTTGCCTTTGGCCCTTGCACAGCCTGGTGTTTCTTTATAATTTGTAATTCTTCAGTACTTTGTCACTGCCAAATTAACAGTTCAAATTCTCTAGATGCCACTCATGACATAGCCCTAAAAATTTTTCATAGTGCCCTAATAATGTATCAATGCATGACAAGGAATCTAGGCTGCCTTAATTGTTATTATAGTAAAAATGGCAAGTTGTTTGGGAAATATTGTATTCCTAAAAAATTGGACTATTCAGTATTCTTTGAAAAAATGTTATGTTTTTTAGTCTCTGCGCTTTTATTCATTGTTTCTTGTCTCTGGTATATGTGTTCCCCCATCTCCATTTTATACTATTGAGATCTTACCAATTCTTCAGAATTTGGCTGAAAATTTAAATTCCTAATAAATAATCACTCCGCACTGGAAGTAACCTTCCCTTTCTTTTTTTTCTTTCTTTCTTTCTTTTTTTTTTCTTTTTTGAGATTGAATCTTACTCCATCACCCAGGCTGGAGTGCAGTGGCGTGATCTCGGCTCACTGCAACCTCCACCTCCCGGGTTCAAGCAATTCTCCTGTCTCAGCCTACAGAAAAGCTGGGACTACAGGCGCCTGCCACCACGCCTGGCTAATTTTTGTATTTTTAGTGGAGATGGGATTTTACCTTGTAGTTCAGGCTGGTCTTGAACTCCTGATCTCAGGTGATCCACTGGCCTTGGCATCCCAAAGTGCTGGAATTACAGGCATGAGCCACTCCACCTGGCCCAACCTTCCCTTCCTTTATCATTGGAAATGCTTTTTTTTTTTTTTTTCACATTTATGACATTTTCAATGCTTTTTATTACAGCTATTTATTCACGTGTCTTATCTTCCCTGCTGGATTGCAGGTGTTTTAAAAGATAAGGATTTTTATCATATTCTTTTTTTATTTCTCTCAATACCAGGGGCATAATAGACCAGCAATACATTTTGAGACATAATGCTTATTAATGTATACATATAGTCCCATTTTTGTAAAAGTATAATATATTACACAACAGATATTAAATAAGACTTTTTCTGTTGTCATGGAATTCTGACTAAGTCGTCAAAGCTGAGGACAATGGACAATAAGTACACACTAATTTTCCAAAGAGGTGTAAGCATGTCCCAGAGGACTTGCTATGATATAGTGGGCCAAAGTAGTCCAGTATCTACCGTAATCATCAGCTGCTTATGTCAAGCCTGGACACTCATTGCAGAGGATGCATAGGTGCATAGGTGTGGTGCATGAGACATTTTACAAGAGAACTGGATACCTGTGCCCAGAACTTTGGGTCAAATGTAAGGAAGATCAAAACTGTTGACTGCCTCTCGCTTGGAAAATCTTGGCTTTGGGAGGCTGTTTGTGAGAGGGCAGCAGTCAGGATGGGTGGGAGAAAAGATCTGTAAATTCCATGAGCCACATAGCCAATGGGGAGGGTGTTGAGTGTCTTGAAAATGTCTTACCCAAGAGGGCTACTTGCCTTAGGGAGGGCCTTCAGCAAAAAGGGGCTGTGGGTGAACTGTCAGGTGGCAGATACTGGTGGGGAGTGCTTATATCCTAGATAGTATTTTTAGCATCATGGTACAGGTGGAGTTGCCCATAGAGGTGGGGAAATGTTTCCAAAACAGGATAAAAATAATGCTCTTCACCCCAAGAGAGAACTGGAATTTGATCGTCTGTCATGACAGTGGGTGCTTGACACAAGGGCATCAACTAAGTAAAAAGGTCATTTCTTCTTTTCCTTCCTGCTTGTTGGATCCAATCCCCTTGTCAGAGCCAGAAGTAAGAGGAGGTGGAACGAGGCATGTGAAAGAAGAGCTGCATTCTCCTGCCTCCAGTTCCACACTGTCACAGGACTTTAATCCTTGCATAAGCTCTGAGATGGGGGAAAGGATAAAATGTTCTTATAGCCAAAAAGTGACTGGCAAAACATGGGATCCACTCAGGGCATACAAAAGGAGGTGAAAAGAGAGCTACCAGAACCATTTTGAAGGAGGTGTCATGGAAAAAAAAAAAAAAGAAAGCTCTTCCCTGATTATATGCTACCATGTTTATCCCTTTAAATAGAATTATATGTATATATAGATATATTACATTTATCTATCTATTGATCAATCGATCAATCACTATTTGTTGATCATGGGATTACATGTAATTTATAATTTTATATTTGTTTATGTGAGTTTTCTAAAATGGACATGTATTATATAAAAATACTTACAAAAATAATTTGGTTTTTAATAGAAAAATTGAAAAAGAGAAGAGTTCTAGAAGAAAATAAAAATTGCTCACAAATTCCCATCCATATGCAACTACTATTGATATTTTAGTATTTTTACTTATATTTTGTGTTCATATGGCTATTTTCACAATACAATTGCAATAATATTATTGATACAATTTTGTGTCCTGCTTGTTTAAAGTGGCACTCTTCCATGACTTTAAATATCTTGAAAAATATGGAATAGAAATTAAGGATAAAATAAAATGTGTTTAACCAATCTCTATTGCTGAACATTTAAATTAGTTCAAACTTGTGATATGGATAGTCCCATGTAATAAATTTTTGTCACTTTTATGTACTTTTCTAATGATTTCCTTTATCTAATCTTTTATATTTTCTTCCTTTGTTGGACATGTATTATGTGCCAGTTACTAAATAAGAGGCTGGAATATAACTATTAAAAAGAAGTAGCCCTGACTCTCAAGATCTCACAGTGTAATGGGGAGAGAAATACCTAAAAGAAAATTTGATAGCATTTTGTATATATGATCATATGATATACAAGATCATATGTATCCTGTTTATAGCAATATGAACAGGATATTACAGGGAAACAGGAAGCATTTCTAACCCAACTTTGGAGGGCATGGGGGAGCCGTGGGCAAGTGGTAAGGCAAAGAGTGCGTATGCTGAGTAGAAGAGGAGGAGACACAGAAGGTGAGTACCGGTAGGGAGGTAAGAAACAACATTGTCTGGGGTGTGGAGATGGGAAAGAGGAGGATAATAAAAACCTCATACTTAAATAGGAATTATAATAGGCCCACTTTATAGGGCTATTGTGAGGATGTGAGGATTAGATGAGATTATATGAATTGTCCAGCAAAGTACCTGGCACTTGCTAAAATTTAGCTACTATTTTCACTGTCATCCACATTGCAACTTTCCCCATTCTTTGTTTCTGTTAATAGAATTGGCCTAGCTCTCTCTCAGACCATTGTATTAGTCAGGGTTCTCCAAAGAAACAGAACAAATAGGAGATATATATATATAAAAAATACAGGATATATATTGGTTATATAGGATATACATATAGGTTATACAGGATATATATATCCTATTGGTTCTGTTTCTTTGGAGAACTCTAAAATTTTATTACATTTAATTAATTAGTTAATTAAAACAGAGTCATGCTCTGTTGCCCAGGCTGTAGAGCAGTGGCACTATCTCAGCTCATTTCAATCTTCACCTCCCAGGTTCAAATGATTCTCCTACCTCAGCCTCCCAAGTAGCTGGAACTACAGGTGCCCACCAACACACCTGGCTAATGTTTTGTACTTTTAGTAGAGATGGAGTTTTGACCATGTTGGCCAGGCTGGTCTCCAACTCCTGACTTCAGGTGATCTGCCCGCCTCAGCCTCCCAAAGTGCTGGGATTACAAAAGTGAGCCACTGCACCTGGCCTGAATTTTATTTTTTATTACGGGATTGGCTCATGCTCAGGAAATTATGAAGGCCAAGTAGTCCCATGATATGCTGTCTGCAAATTCCCAGTTAGAGTCTGAAGGCCTGAGAATAGGAGTGGGAGGCTGGAGATGGAGGGAATGGGAGGCTGTACTAGTGTAAGATATGGAGTCCAAAGGCCTGAGAACCAGGAGATCTTTTGCCTGAGGGCAAGAAAAGATGGATGTTCCTGGTCAAGAGGAGAGAGAGAGAGAGAGAGAGAGAGAGAGAGAGAGAGAGAGAGAGACATGGAATTTGCCCTTCCTCTGCCTTTTTTTCTATTTAAGCCCTCAGTGGATTGGATGATGCCCACCCACATTTTTGAGGGGGATCTTTACTCCCTCTACTGATTCAAATGCTAATCTCTTCTGGAAACAGCCTCACAGACATACCCAGAAATATTGTTTTGCCCACTATCTGGGCATCCCTTAGCCCAGTCAAGTTGACACATTAGATTAACCATCATAAATATTTCTTGGATGGGCACATGGAAACCCCCACTATTACAGAAAAGCCAACACTCTTATAGCTTGTCCTACATGCTAGGCACTCTTCTAAATGCTTTACAGGCACTGAGAGTTTAAGTAATTGGTCAGGCAGCCTGGCTTCATGCCCCAAACAGGATGTTTTAGGTCCTTGCCACACATTCTTGCTATCTCTTTTTACTCCTGGAGATAAAACTGTCTGCTTGTCTTCTTCCAGATTCCTCAATATTTTAAGCATTTTCTTATGGGATGGCTGCAATCCATGATATTAGAACTTCTTGTAATTTTATTATTGTTAAACAGTTTATAAGAGGAGAGACACCAGGTAACTGGTTTTATTAATCCAAAATTTGGACCCTTCCTCCATTCTATGAGTTTATTTTAGGGATCCATAATTTGTACTACGAAAAATAAGTTCCAAAGATATTCTGAGATTTAGG